AAAAAAAAAAAAAAAAAAAAAAAAAAAAAAAAAGTTGAGAGATGAAAAACAAAAAAAACAACCCTATGAAACTGGTACTATTATTATTTTAATTTCTATTTTATAGATGAAGAAATTCAGGTACAAAGGGGTTAAGTAATTATGGGAACAGCGAGGGGGTGGGTGAGAGGCAGGAGAACTGAATGGTGAGACATGGGAAGATGAACTAGACTTTTTAGTCTTTTGTACCTTTTACCCTGGGAATGCTTGACCTCTTATTAAAATAAATAAATATGTAACAGGACCTGTCGGCTGGGTGTGGTGGTTCATGCCTGTAATCCTGGCACTTTGGGAGGCCGAGGTGGGTGGATCACCTGAGGTCAGGAGTTCCAGATCAGCCTGTCCAACATGGCGAAACTCTATCTCTACTAAACATATAAAAATTAGCCAGGTGTGATGGTGCGTGCCTGTAATCCCAGCTACTCAAGAGGTTGAGGCAGGAGAATCATTTGAGCCCAGGAGGCTGAGGTTGTAGTGAGCCAAGATCAAGCCATTGCATTCCAACCTGGGCGACAGAATGAAACCCCTCCAAAAAAAAAAAAAAAAAAAAACGCACGTCTGCCATACCCATTTCTGTATTATGCTCACCCAGAGGTGCCCATCTGTGGTTGCGGCACGGTGGAAGAAACACTGGACCAGGAGGGAGAACATCTGGGTCATGGGTCCAGTCTACCATGGATGTGTCGTCTCTGGGCCTTGGTATCATCTTTCGTAAAACACAAGAGCTTGGGGCGATGGTCATGATGGGATTAGAGTCTATCAGTCTTTCCTAATGTAACCCGAGTTACCCGAGAAAGTTTAAAATATATAGCTTCTCAAGCTCTCATAAGCACATATTCTGATTTATCATAAGGACTGGGATACAGTTTGGGAATCTGTATTTTTCAAGAGGCCCCCTTTTAGGCAGTTCTGTCGTAAAACCCTGGACAAGATGATGTTTCAGGGGTTCCTCCCAGCTCTAAAATTCCACTTCCTGTGAAATACTGAGTATCACATCAGATCCAAGTAACCCATTCATCACTCACCCTCTCAACCCTGACCCTGTCCTTGGTCCTTCCAGCCCTTAGAGGCTGCCTTACTTCTAGCCTGTCTGAAAAAGAAAGGTCCTTCCATTCTCGCCCACCCCATCTCCTGTCCTCCACCCTAAATAGATGTTGGATTCCAGCTCCAGCAGTGCCATGGCCACTCCAAGAGGGTGACAAGGTACCAAAGCCACACATGGAGACAGAAATTTTGATCCATCTCAGAATTTGCACATGGATCTGAACCATATGTGGATCTTAGGCTTCTTCCAAAGGAACTTTATTCCTTAGGATGGCACTCTTGGTATTTTGTATTCTAATTTCTCATTCTGCCCAATGGTCTATAAGGTTGGAGCTCTTTAAAAAAAGTGCCTAACATTCTCATTTTAATACAGCATTTTGGATATTTACTGATCTCCTTCCTGCTTGCTTCCTTCTTTTCTTCCTTCCTTTCTTCCTCTTTTTCTCCTCTTCTTCCTCCTCCTGCATCTTTTCCTTCCCCTGTCAAGGAAAGGCCTGGGGCTGGAGTGGGGATGGGTAGAGGGTTCTGACCTCTGTTCTTCCCACCTACTTAGAGAGAAGTGTGAGTATTCAGCTCACCATGCAGCAGAGATAGACCGTGCCTCACCAGCTTCTTGCAGTTTTACGATGAGTCTCTCTCCATTTCACAGGGCAGTTATTACTCATGATTGATGCTCACGAGCCAAGCCTAATGTGTGGCACACTCCCCATACCACACACAGACACAAACATTTGCCTGGCTCGCATGGGCCAGGATGAGGATGCCATTTCTACCTGGGAGGAGCCACGTGACCAGGCCTTCTCAGCAGCCTCCACTGGTGTCAGAAGGAACAGGGCATTTGGTTATTGCCGGTCTGCTTTTCCAGGACTAGCATCCACAGAAGATGGGGTCCACTGCCAACATGTGAAGATGCAGGAGGTGAGCCCCTCATTCCAGAGCCAGAGGATGTGGCCAGCTTCCCCCTCTCATCTTCAACCTGGGCTAATGACAGCTGGCAGATGCTTGGCCATGATGACAGGTGTTTGTCGAAGATGTATTTTTACCCTCTGGACAAACGGCAGTTGGCAGGAGTGGGGCGTTTTTATGAGTCGAGGTACTCAGGGCTGGAAAATAAACAGTCAGTTAATGAGCCGGTCTTATGGAAACTGGCATAAATAATAACAAAGAAAGCATCCTGTCCCTCATGCGTGGGTGAGGGGATATAAAAGCTGCAGCTGGCTGGCCACGGTCAGTCTTGGGGAACTCCGGCTGCGTTACTGACCTGCGAGCTGACCAGCTGGGATCATGGGGTGCTGCCCTGGGGACTGCTTCACCTGCTGCACTCAGGAGCAAAACTGCTGTGAAGAGTGCTGCTGTCAGCCAGCCTGCTGTGGCTGTTGTGGCTCCTGCTGCGGCTGTGGGGGCTCTGGCTGCGGGGGCGGCTGCTGTGGATCGTCCTGCTGTGGATCTGGCTGCGGGGGTGGAGGCTGCGGAGGCTGCGGAGGCTGCGGAGGTGGCTGCTGCGGGTCCAGTTGCTGTGGGTCCAGCTGCTGCGGGTGCTGTGCACCTGTGTGCTGCCAGCCCACACCTGTATGCGACACAAAATGAAGACCTCTCCCTCCACCACTGATGCGGTCCCACCAAAAGCCTCCATCTGCTCCAGGGGGACAGCCCCTTGTGTCCAGAACCTTCCTTGTCCTCAAGACCGTGTCTTGCCTTTTGTGTGATTTGTAGAGGAGGGCTTGTTCTCCAATGCCTGTCCTGGTCTTTCGAGGCACTGAGAACAAAAGCCATACTCTGATGAGACTTTAAAACTGGGTCACCACATAGTGATCCCTAAGCTCAAGGGTGAATCCCCATGACTTTATTTATTCACATGAAGTTCAGTGTCTTGTACTATAAGGCATCCTCTTCTCCAACGTGTCTTTGGGACCGATCCTCTGCCCTGGCTTTCTGCTGCCTTTGAGATGCAAAAAAAGCCCACCTTCTTTGTGAGCCTCTTAATAAATTTGAGCATGCTGGCATAACCTAATTAGTTCTCTTGCCTCTTCCTTGACCTCCCTGCTGAGGACTGGGTTAGAAAAATTTATTCTGGCATCTGCATTAGGGTTTTTGAAATGTGATTTGTGGATCACCTGCATTGGAATCACCTGGGCGCTTGTTAAAACTGGAGATTCTGAGGCCCTCCCTAAGACATACGGAATCAGAATCCACCAGAGCGTGGCCTGGGAAGCTGTGTTTTTAACAAGAACCTCAGATAATTCTTATACTGAAGTTTGAGAACCACAGATCTACACTGAAGCTTCCATGTGCTACATGAGATTCACTTGAAAAGCTTTAAAAATATAGATCCTTGGGTTTTATCACTGGAGATTTTACTCATTAGCTCTAGGGCCTAGAGTGCCCTGGACCTGCATTTTGAAAAGCTCCTGGGTGAGTGCTGATGTTGGCCAAATTTAATGGTAATTGAGGGGCATGGCTTTCTTCTGCATTACGGCTCTCCTAGGATGGTTCTGCAGGAGGGCATCAGGCTTGATCAGAACTTTTTGGCAAAGTTGGAGAGGAGGCTTTACTAAAACAAGATTGGTTCTGAATGGAAAGAATTTCTTTCTTTTTTAAATTTTTATTTATTTATTTATTTTTTATTATGCTTTAAGTTCTGGGGTACATGTGCAGAACGTGCAGGCTTGTTACATAGGTATACATGTGCCATGGTGGTTTGCTGCATCATCCATCACCCTGTCATCTACATTAGGTATTTCTCCTAATGCTATTTCTCCCCTGACCCCCCAACCCCCTGCTATCCCTCTCCTAGCTCCCCAGCCCCCGAGAGACCCCAGTGTATGACATTCCCTTCCCTGTGTCCGTGTGTTCTCATTGTTCAACATCCACTTATGAGTGAGAACATGCGGTGTTTGGTTTTCTGTTAAAGGATTTCTAGTGGCAAAGCTGTGAACTCGCAGTTTCTGAGGATGTTCTGTGCAGCACTATTCCTTCTTCCAGCCTCACGGTTGGCCCAGTCTTACTTTTCTGTGCTAGGTTGTCTTACCTGGAGCTGCTACATTTCTTCTGCCTTCGTCCTAGGGAGGAAGGAGTGAGTATACTTCTGCTAGGCAGGGCCCAACCAAGGTGTGTGGGTCTCTCTGGAAGGTTAAAACTCAAAAAAGAGTTGATTCAACCTCTGTTGAAAGTGACCTTAAGCTGTGTGTGGCATAAAACTAATTTTGCTCTTGCCCTGGAAAAATAATATTTATTTTTATGCCTACAAAGCAATGTTTTATTTGACAAAGAAAATTTTTTTTCTGATTATAAGCATAGCAATGATCTCTAAAACATGAAAAAATTGAAAAAAATAAAGAAGGAATAATAGCATCCTGCAGGCTCACCACTCAGAGTTTATTATTGATAAGCTTTCCAGACTCCTTCCCAAGCGTATTTATAAATAAAACTGGGATTATGATACCTTTACCTTTTTCTTTCTTTATTTTTTGTTTTTTTATAGTCTTTATCGAAATATAATTTACATATAATAAAAGCTCCCATTTTTAGTGAACAGCTTGATGTGATCTGACATTTGTGTATACTTATGTAACCACCACTGCACTCAAGATATGGAACTTTCCGTCGCTCCTTAAGTCCCCCAGCTTGTCTTTGCAGTTCATCCCTCCCCTAACCCCAGACCCTGGCAATCGTCGATCTGTTCTTTATGTTACTACAGATTTTACCATTTCTAGAATCTCATACAAAAGAAATCATGCAGTGCAAATTTTTTTTTTCATTTTGCCTAACATGTTTTCTATCTATTCATCACTGCAGGTATCAATAATTCATTTTTTCTACTGAATAATATCCCATTGTATAGATAAACCACATTAAAAATATATTCGCCTACTTATGGGCATTTGGATTCTTTTGAGTTTCTGACTATTATGAATAAAGCTGCTATGTGCATTCTCGTACAAGTTTTTTTTTTGTGTGTGAACCTATGTTTTATTTTGGATAAATACCTAGCAACTAGAGGGCTGTTTAAATGTGAGTGAATGCTTAATGTTGCATGAAACTGCCGAGTTGTTTTGCAAAGTGGCTGCAGCGTTTTGTATTCCAACCAGCAACGTCCGAGAGTTCCAGTGTCTCTGCGTCCTTGCTAACACTTAATATTATCAGTCTTTTTACTTCTAGCCATTCCAGCAGGTGTATAGTGGTAGCTCATTTTGTTTTCATTTTTTCTTTCATGAACAAACCAAGCACTATTATTACTGTCTTCTTTTGGAGAGAACCTGAGATTCGACTCTGCCCCGGTTCAGTTTTAGACTACTATTTGAGCCATTTTCATTCTGACTGGAATTGGCCTCCTAAGATCTGGCTCTTTAACCCCTAAGACAAAGCCACACCAGAGCAGGAGCTGCCAATGGGACACACTTGTCCAGTGACCAGCGAGTCTACATTGAGTAGCTGTGATTCAGAGCAGCTGATTATTCTACTGCTCATGGTCATGCCTCCTGGGTGCATGAGTGGAGGTAGTGATTTTTGAATTACTGATAAAGGCTTGCTCTTCTTAGCTACCCACAGAGGTTCTCATTTATTCACTCAATAAATATTGATTGTGTGCTTCCAATGTATCAGCTGCTGCTCTGGATGCTGGGTATACATCTGTGAATAGACAAAGTCCTTGCCCTCATGGTGTTTATGTGAGGTCAAGAGGTGATAAGAACTATAAAGAATAAAGTACAAATGGGCTATACAGTTGAATGAACTGCCTCTTCATTTAGCAGGGAACGATTCTTCAAAGAGATGACATTCTGGCACAATAGTTGAGTTTCTTGACAAAGAGAGTTTATAAGAAATTTATTTGTAGGGGGGACTTCCATTCACAGCTGGTTTAGCTGAGAAGTGAATGGAAAAGAGAAGGGTCTCAGTGGCTCCTCTGCCTTTCCCCTCTTCAGGGCTGTCTAAAAGTCCTCTTTGCCCACTGATTGAGAGCCGCATTTAAAAGAATGGCACTGCCTGTTCTTAACCTTCTGTTTTCAACCACCACAGCCCATCTCTCATATTGCTTCAGCCCCAAGGTACTGCCCAGTTCAGGTTGTTGTCATGAAGCTTCTGGGTAGTTGCCACAGACCCCTAATGGTCTCCCTGCCTTCAGCCTTGCCCTCACCCTCCGTTCTCCACATCCAGAGAGAGAGAGAGCACACATCCTTCTGAAAGGGCAACCCCAGTCAAGTTACTCCCCTGCTTAAACCCTCATTATGATTAAGAAATGCAACTTCTTGATCATGGTCCACAAGGCCTTTCATGATTGGGTGCCTAGTAGCCCCTTTAGCCCTGCTGCTTCCCCTCCTATCCCCTCTGCTTTTCATCCTGCCTATGTTGAACCATTTTCTGCTTCCCAAATGTATTGTGCTCTATGTCTTTGATTCCCACATCTTATCCTTTTTTTGCCTCATGACCCCCTTCTTATCCACTCTCCTTGAGCCCTCATATTACTTGAAAAGGCTTTGCTAATTCTCCAAAAATCATGTTCTTTTTTTCCTCTCTCTTTTTTTTTCTTGGTGGGGGAAGAGACAGAGTCTCACTCTGTCACCTGGGCTGGAGTGCAGTGGTGTCATCTTGGCTCACTGCAAGCTCTGCCTCCTGGGTTCCAGCGATTCTCCTGCCTCAGCCTCTGAAGTGTAGCAGGAATTACAGGCACATGCCAGCATGCCCAGCTAATCTTTGTGTTTTTAGTAGGGACAGGGTTTCCCTATGTTGGCCAGGCTGGTCTCGAACTCCGGACCTCCCAACACTTTGGGAGGCTGAGGTGATCCACCTGCTTCAGCCTCCCAAAGTGTTGGGATTACAGGTGACAGCCACCATGCCCAGCCTCCAAAAACCATGTCAATATCTCTCCTGGGTCCCTCCAAAGTGAGGGCCTCACAATGCTGAGAGGTCACAGTCAGGCAGTGACTCATGGCTGCCTCCATCATGTCTGGCAATTGCTGTTTTAGGAAATGCCTCTCCAGGCCAGCCATCTCTCTCTGCTGCATCTACCCCCGGTATCCCTCTTTCATAGCACTTGAATTCTGTACCATGCCTGCTTATACATGTGTCTATCTCTCTTCTAAACTTTTTCTCCTTGTGATCAGAATTGCAACCCATTCTTTTTATATCTGTCACACAGAACCCAGTGTTGGCTGAGTTGAGTGCATGAATAAAAGAGAAACTGAGTCAATGATTGCATGAATTAATAAAGAAGGCAGGGATGAAAGGACTGCACAATGGCTCAGCTTTTCCAAGCGAGAGCCTGCCTTTTGCTTGATGAAAACACATGGCGGAGGCAAAGTAGGCTCTTCACTGAGCCCGAGGTCAAGCCCTGGTGCTCAGAAACCCAGGATTCATTTCTCCCTTCATCTGTCTCAAGCAGTAGCAAAGATAAGTCTGTTGTTCACAATGTCTTTGAGAGATACCCCTGAGAAGTCTCTTGTTTTTATTCTTTACCCTTTGGGTATTGTGGGTATTGGAGACTTGCTTTTCTTTTTTTAAAGGAGCTGTCAAAATCATTAAAAGCAAAGAATAACCTGGAGGCCTAATAATGCTTGAGGAGGAGCAGAGAGGCTGGGTCACGTCCTTTCCAGGGACCCGTCAAGCTGATGTTCTATGGTTATGGGATACCATGGAGGATGGTGGTGATATGAGCCTGTGATATGTGACTTTGATGAAGCCCTCTGAGAAAGACAGGTCTAGACAGGTTGGTAAGGAGGAGGGACAGCAGTCTAGATCAGGGAAAGGCTGTGTGTGGTCTTCAGCAAGTGACTGAAACTTTCTGACCCTCTGCTTCCATTTCTTCATTTCATTTTTTTTTTTTTTTGAGACAGAGTCTCCCTTTGTCACCCAGGCTGGAGTACAGTGCCATGATCTTTGCTCACTGCAATCTCTGCCTCCCAGGTTCAAGTGATTCTTCTGCCTCGGCCTCCCAAGTATCTGGAATTACAGGCATGCGCCACCACATCTGGGTAATTTTTGTATATTTAGTGGAGATGGGATTTCATCC